CTGGGGGTTTCCCGGAGGCCTGTTCCAGGCTCGTTGGGGTTTCTTGAAAGCCTATCGGGGGTCTCCTGGGGGCCGGTTGGGGCCTCTTGTTTTTTTGGGGGGGGCTGGAGAACCCAAAATCTAGGTCCCTGTCGCCTCTCTGAAATTTTCTTATGCGTCCCTGAAGCTTTCGGAAGCCGTCTTGGAGGCCTCTGGGGCCGTCTCGAGAGCGCGTCGGACTGGTCTGGGCGCTCTCTTGGGGCCCTCTCAGGCCGTCTTGGGGCGGTCTTCGGGGCCTCTTGCGCCGCCCCGGGGCGTCGGGGAGCCGAGAGCGCCGAAACTCGAAAGACATTTCGAAAACCAGCGAAAACCAAAACATGTTGACACGTGGGGCTCTCTGGGAGGGCCTCTCGGACGCCTCCCGGGGCGCCCGGGGAGCGCCGAGGGCCGTCTGGAGGCGATGTTGGGGGCCTCCTGGGGGCCTTGCGGGGCCTCCGGGGGGTCCTTTTGCGCGGTGAGCTTGAGATGAAGGTTCCTGCCCTTATTCTAGAAGTTTTCTGGGGGCGTTCCTGGAGCCTTCGGAGGCAGTTTTGGAAGCGTTTTGGGCCGTCTCGAGAGCGTGTTGGATTGTCTGGGCGCTTGGTTGGAGGCTTCTTAGGCCGTTTTGGGGCGGTCTTTGGGCTTCTTTGGGCTCTTTTGGAGCGTCGGCAAGCCGAAAGCTTGGAAATCCGAGATTTTTTTTGTTTTTTATATTAAAAAAAACACACACACACACACACACACACACACACACACACCGAAAACCAATACACGTTGACACTGGGGCTCTCCGGGGGGGCTTCTCGGACGCCTCCCGAGGCGTCCTGGGAGCTCCCTGGGCCGTCTGGACGCGATGTTCGGTGCCTGCTGGAGGCCGCGTGGGGCTTCCGAGGGTTTTTTTTTGGGCGGTGAGCTTGAAATGCCGTCTGCTGCCTCTACTCTGGAGGTCTTTTTGGGTCATTCCTGGAGCCTTCGGAGGCCGTCGTGGGGGCCTCTTGGGCCGTCACGAGGGCGTCTTGGACTGCCTGGCCGCCTTCTCGGGGGCCTCTGAGGCCGTCTTTGGGCGGTTTGGGGGCCCTCTTGGGCTGTCTTGGTGCGTCGGCAAGCCGAAGACGCGAAAACCCGAACAACTTTTTAAAAACAAGACCCAAAGAAAGCCCATGCATGTTGACACCGGAGGCTCTCTGGGAGGGCCACTCGGAAGCCTCCCGAAGCGTCCTGTTAGCTCCCTGGGCCACCCGGGCGCGATATTGGACGGCCTGGATCGACCTGATGGCGACTCGTGGCCCTCTCGGAACATTTTGCCGACCATATTGGGGCCGCCTGTGCCGCGCGGAAGCGTGTCTGCCGAAATGGGGCCGTCTTCTGCCGTCTTCCGCCGTCTTCCGCCTGCCTCCGCCGGCGCCCTTCCTGTGGCCGGGAGGGGGTCCCGGCCCCCCCCCCGAGACGGCCTTCGAGGGCTCCGGGAAGTCCCCCAGAAAGCTTCTAGAAGAGGGCAGGAACCTACATCTCAAACTCACCGCACAAAAGGGCCCCCCCGAGGCCCCGCAAGGCCCCCAGGAGGCCCCAAACATCGCGCGCAGACGGCCCTCGGCGCTCCCAGGACGCCTCGGGAGGCCTCCGAGAGGCCCTCCCAAAGGAGAGCCCCGCGTGTCAAAATGTTTTGGTTTTCGCTGGTTTTCTAAATGTCTTTCGAGTTTCGGCGCCCTCGGCTCCCCGACGTTCCGGGGCGGCGCAAGAGGTCCCGAAGACCGCCCCAAGACGTCCTGAGAGGCCCCCAAGAGAGCGCCCAGACCAGTCCAACACGCTCTCGAGAGGGCCCAAGAGGCCTCCAAGACTGCTTCCGAAAGCTTCAGGAATGCTTGGGAACATTTCAGAGAGGCGGCAGGGGCTTACATTTTGGGCTCTCCAGCCCAAAAGAGACCCAGGAGGCCCCAACCGGCCCCCATGAGAACCCCGAGAGGCTTTCAAGAGACCCCAATAGACCGGCCTGGAACAGGCCTCCGGGAAGCCCCCAGCCGTCCCCAACAGGGCCCCAAGACTGCCCAAGAGGGCCCCAAGATGGTTGGAGACGCCGCCAAACGGACAACACGGGAACCAGCGTTCATCCCACGACCAGGAGGCCCCCAGATTCTCTCAAGAGGGCCCCAACACTGCGCCAGAGGACCCCAGGATGTCTGGAGACATCCCGACAAAGCGTTACCACCTCAAACGGACAACACGGGAACCAACGTCAGGTGCCGTCTTGGCATCTCACCTGCAACGCACGGACCTTTTCAAAACTAGTGGTCCGCATGCACGCTTTTCTTTGCAGTTCACTTGCTCGCAAGCCACGCGCCCCCCCACAGTGGCTCGCATGGTCGCGTGCTGAGCCCACATCGCAGGGGCCCCCATTTGTCCTCCAAGATCGGGCTTCGTGGTAATATCAGGTGTTTGGTTCGGCCTAGCGCTTGTTTGCGCGACCTTCAGCGGTTAGTGAAGTTACGCTTGCCTTGATTGCCGCCGTCGCATTGCTATTTGCCCGGACTTTTGTTTTAATGTTTCGCCCTTGCGAATTGTATTGTTTTTCCTGGTCGTGTTCGCATCGTCGTTATTCGCGGTCGACTTGTTTTCGATTTCGCTCGTGCCAACCGTGCTGCTCGCACCTTTCTCGGAGTAGCCTACTTGGGCATGAAGCATCGCGCGGGCTCGCATGCTTTCGCAATCAGATAGTTGCGCCTCTACCAACGCTGCGCCATTCATTTATAGTTGAAATCGTTTATTTTCTGATTGGCGTTTTGTCGCCGAAAGCTTCGCCAGTATAATGTCACCACTGACATTTGGATCCATGGATTAGGAAATAAAGTATCTGAGACCGCGCGACGGAATTGCTCAGGCATTCAAGGGGCCATGGTCTTTGTACGCACGTCTACGGAGCCCCAATTTAGTGTCAAGATTTGTTTCGCCAGCAACCTTTGGTGTTTTCAGCGCTGATAACGCCATTGGGATCACCAATTTTCCTAAGAAGGAAAAGGAGGATAGTGACCCAGCCAACTCTCCCACCGAGACAGTCCCAGCCGAGTCGCCAGCAGATGCTGTGGCCCCAGGCGTTGAAAGCATTACCCCGAGCGGCGCCGCCGCCTCGGGACAGCGAAGTCAGCAATGCTCTCGCCCGGCATCGCGACCGAGGTTCCATTGTGGAAGGCAATCTTATCGGGCCGCTCCCCATGCTCCTGCGTCTGCCGGTTCTGCCGCGCCAGGCGCCAATGCCGGCTGGATCGATTATGACAGGATTCAGTCGTGGGCGGATGAGTCCTGGGCTGAGGAACCCACCCCCCGGAGACTGGTTGTCGAGCCGGTCGGTGGACGCGCGCGCGATGGCGATGGCCCCGGGCCAGCCATGGACGGCGTGTGCGACGCGACCGTCTACTGCGAAGACAAGACCGAGAATGGAGAAATTCGAGGATTCTATTTGTATGTATCCCAGCGTCGCCCAGTCACCGCTCAACGCAAAACGTGGCAATGGTTTGGTCTGGGCGAGTACAGCGACAAGTTCCAGCGCGACTCTGGGGCGCCAAGTACCTCGCCGGCGCCTCCCCCGCCCCTTCGCCAAATGCGAGGCCGGCGGAGATGGGCCAGGGCAAGAGTGGGCCAAGTGGCTGGAGCTCGAGCAGAAGAGAGGACAGCTCCTCCAGGGGCCAGAACCAGCGGCGCTGGAGCAACAGCGATCCCTGGGGTGACTCTCGAGACTGGAGAGGTCGATGGAGAAGGTGATGCTGCGCAATGGAACCTGTGCGACAAAGGCGATTCTGGTCCGCGCTACTTCGTGGAGCGGGTGCACCAGGTGTGCGTGGGCATTGAGGCCTGAGCTGGAAATGTTAGCTCCGGCGGGGAACGTCGGGCTTCTCCGACCTTCCGCCCCCTGGCAACCATCGTCGAGCGGTCAAATGTTTTTGGGGGTTCGCTCCGCTGGCTGTGCATATGTGCAGGCCTGCGGCGCGCGCGGCGCGTGCGTCGGCCGGCGGGCCGGCCTCCCCCCTTCAGTGTTGCCTTAGTGTATGCTCGATGGCACTGTCCCTTCTTACCCATGCCATCTGCGGAGCCCACTGACCATGAGATACCATCGGAACAGATTGCAGGGACTACGGATATCCAGGCAAAAGACTGTCTTGGGCCGTCTTGGGGGGATCTTGGGCCGTCTTGGGATGCCTTTGGGCCGTCTTGACGCCCCCTTGGGCTGCCGTGGAGCACGCGTGGGAACTTGTTGGGGCCGTGTCAGTTTTCGAAAGCCCGAAAAGAACAGCATGTCCAAACCATGCAACAACCTACCGGCCATCCATGTCTTATGCCTCTTGAGGGTCTCTTGGGCGCCCTCATGGGATGTATTGGAGGCCTCTTGCGCCTTCTTGATGCCACTGTGGGCTATCTCGACGCTCTCTTGCACCGTCCCGAGGCCTTTTTGGGCAGTCTTGCGACCATCTTGCGGGCGTGTGGGGCTGTCGTGGCGCGACCTTGGCTATTGCTGTTTTTGACGTTGTTTCTGGCGGTGTTGGAGTCGTCTGGAGGCTGACAAGAACGCCGGACAACAAATTCAGAGGGGGGGATTTTGGGGGGATGCGTGGTGCGAGGGATGGGGGAGGTGTCGGTCTTAGAAACACGAAACATTACCAGGCAACCTACGAACATTTCGACACGCTCATTCTGTACAGGCATGGCGCCAGATGGTGATAACTACTACGTCGACGATGCTGATGTTGATGCTGATGCTGGTGCTGGTGCTGGTGCTGGTGCTGCTGCTGATGATGATGATGATGATGACGATGATGCTGGTGATGATGGCGATGACGATGACGACGACAATGACTATGGTGAGGAGGATGGTAGGGATGATGCGGATGGGTAGGGAGGGTGTGGAGGACAGCGATGTGGAGGATTTAGAAGAGTAGTAACACGAGCAGGACTCAGTGCAAGAGCAGGTGGAGCAGGAGGATGCACGCTGTCAGGATCCGTTGCTTGCCCTCGCGCCGGGCGAGTCGAAGGAACTGAAGGCTGCCCCCAGCCTTTCCACCGCGGGTGCCAGTCCAGGGCGGACATGGCAGAGTGGGGCGGACGTGCACGAGGAGGGGAGGAAGAAGGGGGAGTTGAGAGGAGGATGAGGAGGACCACCGCTAAAGGCCAACCGCATGACCTCTCTTGAGTTCGCACGGCCCCAAGAGAGCTTCGATTGGGCAATGATCGAATATCAGTACACCGACACTGAATGACGACACTTTCAACGCGCGTCGACATTGACAGCCAGGACGCCTTCCTTCCCGCTTTTCATAGCTGTTTATGTGTCTCGTGATCCCGATGCGTGTTTGATTCCATGCTTACCAGATCGCTGAGGCTGCGGCCTCACCCTCCTGGTCGTAAGGGAAGGCCTGGGCGGTTGTCCAGAGGCGTCGTCGCTCGTTCCTCAGCGCAGTCACTGAAAGCATGCCTCTTCACTGCGCGAAGCGCCCCCCCGTTGAACGACGAGTGCCCTATAGGCCGGCACTTCAGGCGGCGGTTTCGTTTTGCAAAGATCGGTCTGCATCCTTCGAGCCATAAGGAGTGCGACAAAGTAGGCACAAGCATCTCAAGGAAGTGGTGATCGTTTTCTCACCCGCACCCTCGCACCCCCCCCCCCTGGCGTAGGTCTTGGCTTTTTTTGGCGGCGCCTGTTTCAAGCAGGTGGAGTCTCCCCCATGGGACGCACTGTTGCAAACAGTCGCTTTAAGCAGAGGTCCGGAGCCTGACCCTCCCCCTCCCCCCCTCCTTCCGCTCACTGTCGAAACGCCGAATATGAAAATGTTCACGTGCCCAGTGACAGTCCCGCATTGAAAAGGACTCGCCCTCTATCTGTATAGCCGTGCACTTCGTACACTTGGGCATAGCAATTCAGAAGTCTCAGACGACATCCCCATTTTGGAACGGAGCCGCCCTCCATCCATGTCACTGTTGCACAACTTTACACAGCGGTAGTGCGATTACAGCAGGTCTCAATGCGGGATCTCCATATTGAAAAGAGGCCGCCCCCCCCATCCGTGAAATTGTTGGAAGCTCTTAAGACGAGTGTGCGCGGAGACCAAGAAGAGAGCCACATTTTGAACAGGGGCCGCCCTCCATTCGTGTAGCCGTCGGGTTTGTCAATCAGGCGAGTTCGCGCAGCGCCAAGGCGCCATGTTGAAAACATTCCGCACTCATTCTGTGTAGCTGCTGCTTTTTTTCAGACGAGTGTGCGCGGTGCCGAGGCCCCGTTTTGAAATCGACCCGCATTCTGTCCGTCTACTAGATCTGGGAGAAAATCCTGGGGAGGCTTGTCCAAGGGGGGTTGTCCGGAAGGGTTGTCCAGATCCCCGGTGGATTGTCCAAGGGGTTGTCCGGGGTAGTCCGTCTTGTCATTATTCATCAGCATGGGTTGTCCAGGTTGTCCGAGGGATTGTCTGGATATTTTTTGGATCGGGTTATTACTCCATCGGACATAGTAGCCGTTGGAAATTTCAAGCTTCGGTCTTGTGAAAGGTGGGGAAGGCTCGGGCGACGTGCCTGGTCCCGCCGTGAAGACACGTCTGGTGGTGCGACGGTCAGAAGTTACTGAGCCCGCTGCGCGGGCGCCTCGCGAAATTGTCCCGCAAAAATCTGGGGACTATGGCGGAGGAGGAGGGGGAGGAGGATGCGCAACAATGCGATGCAAGCATGGGCCGCATCGGATCGTCGAATATTGGAGTTGAATGAGGTCGGGCTGGCCCCACCAGAGCCCTAGACGTCCTCATGCAGTGCCAGCGCGAAGCATGCGCACTTCTTTGTCTCAGGAGACGACATCAAAACCGGAGCTTCGTCCCACGTCCCGTGGCTAGCCACAGAGCATTTGTATTTCTCAGGCGAAGATAACGTATCCCACCTTTCTGCGGCTGTTAGCTGCACCCTACCAGACGACCAGGACGTCTCAGGCGAAGCAATCCCCCACCTCACTGCGGCTGCCAGCTGCACTCTGGCCGTGCATCAGGATGTCTCTGGTGTAACCTTTTCCCATCGCTCCGCGGCTGTTAGCTGCAGTTCTGCTGGGCATCGACTCGTCTCCGGCGGACCACTACCTAGCATCCTGCAGCTGTTAGCTGCCACTTCACCCCGGTATGTCTCAGGCGAAAGCATTTGTTCCCACTTTCCTGCGGCTGTTAGCTGCACCCTACCAGAGCACTTGGCAGTCTCATGCGGTGCTTCTGCGAGCTTCTTCCCAACTCCCGCGGCTGTAAGCTGCACCTCCCCCAGTGAGGTGCAGGTCTCAGGCGATGCAATCCCCCATCGCCCTGAGGCTGCTAGCCCAGCGGGCCGGGGCTGGTCACCCGGACCGCCTTGGAAGGCGCGGCCCCCCTGGGCCGCGCCAGTTACTCGTCCGCCTGGCTGGCCGGGCTGTTCTTCGTCGGCACTGGCTTGTGCACTCACCGTCGCCCTTCGGTGCTTTTCGAGTCCAGGCAACTGTCCGCTGCCTCCTCGGACGGGCTGCCTCTCGCCCCCAGGGCTCGGGGAATGTGGCGACCGTGGTCGTCGACCGCGCTGGCCCTGGAGATGGCGTCATGGATTGGTGGCTGCAAGTGCCCTACGCCCCCCCCCCCCCCCATTTTGCTGCCGGTGGTCCACCCCGTGGTCTCCTCGTGTCTCGCGACATCCCATCTGGGTGCTTTGGTTCGGATGCGTTGAGATTTATTACAAGTACAGACAGTTCGGCAAGGAGCGGCCATTTACTACTTGTCCTGAGATTGAGCTGCGGCTTAGCTTTTTGTCTTTCTGTCTTGTTTTCCTCTCTCTTTTCGGTCTCTTCCCGTGTGTCTCTTGTTTCCTTCCTTCCCTGCCGCCGTTCCGCTTGTCGCTTGTTAGCTTGGCGCCTGTCAGGCCCGCTTTTCGACTTCTGACGGTGCGCGGTTAGTTCCGCGACATTCGCGAACAAAAAGCGCGCTTGGCGCCCTGATGGCTGGTCGCGCTGCTCGTGGCTTGTGGGTCCGCGCTGCCCCTGCCTGGGGGGCCTTTGACTTGTTCGGGGGGGCTCCCGGAGCGGCTGCAGCCCGACCGTCCACCGTTTCTTCCTCGCGGTGCTTGTCCCTTACGTGTCGGCGTTCATCTGCGCGCTCTACGCGGTACCTGGAGGCCGGTTACCTCCACGACGCTTGCCTTTCACTCCGCCGTTCCTGCCGTTCTCGCAGGCGCTCCCGCTGCTCTTGCTGGTTCGCTTGCTGTTCCACGTCGTGAAAACCTAATGGGTCCAGGGCTCCGTGTTCGGCAAGGTACTTTGGGGACATGGTTGGGCCGCTTCCCTTTCTCTCCTGGTCCTGGGTCAGCGTGGCGCACTCGGACTTCCACTCGTCATGGTCGTCGTGCCAGTCTGCCTTATATCACGTCCCGGTGGATGCTGAGCCCGCGTTGCCGGGCGTTGTTCCGTTTTGTTTTCCCTGTTGGTTCGGCGCGGCCCGCCCTAGGTTTGCCCGGTTTTCGAACCGCGTTGGGAGCCCGCGTGCCAAAACATATCCACCCCCGTCCATGTAGAAACGATGGCCAGGCGAGTTGCCCTGATCAAGGAAGTGTAGAAACATGCAGCGGATCGACGGACTATGGCAAACCACCGAACGGAATCTCGGGATCAGCCTGAGTTGGCCCTGGAGTGAACGGTGCATGCCTTCGCGGCCTTGTCGAAAGAAAATGGGGAGGGGGAGTATCATAAGGGATGGGTGCACATAGGATTAGTTGATGGTGAGGGAGGGGGAAGGAGGAGGGTGAAGGAGGATGAAGCAGACGGTGAGGATGAGGATGGGGAGTGTGAAGACGACGACGATATGCTTATGATGATGCTGCTGTTGGTGCATATGCTGATGATAAAATGCGGCTGGCGATGCCGATGATGATGACGACGATGCCGATGCCGATGCCGACGACGATGACGAACACGATGGTTATGATGGTGAGGATGATGACGGTGGTGGTGGTGATGCTGATGAGGATGATGTTGATCATGTTGCTGTTGATGATGATTCGGATCATGATGATGATTCGGATGATGCTGCTGGTCATTGTGCGGCTGCGCCTGATGATCATGATGATGATGATGGTGTTGTTGTTGTGAGGAGGGGGAGGAGGGGGAGGAGGAGGAGGAGGAGGATGAGGAGGATGAGGAGGAGGAGGAGGAGGAGGAGGAAGAGGGATGAGGAGGAGGAGGAGGAGGAGGAGGAGCAGGAACAGGAGGAAGAGGGAGCAGGGCGAGAGAGGAGGAGCAGGAGGAGGAGGAGGAGGAGGAGGAGGAGGAGGAGGAGGAGGAAAACGAGGAAGAGGAACAGACTGGACGGAACGCGCTCCCACCAAACGTTGGGTGATTCCCAGGTGGGATAATGATGAAGAGGAGACTGATGAGGCTTGGGGATGAGAGGATCCGATCGACGACGACTACAACAGCAGGAGTCGACCATTAAAACATTCCTGGGCCTTATGCTCCGGAAACCCATGGAGGGCCTCCCGACACCATGTAGGGACACTCTTGAGCTCATGTAGGGAACATGTGTGACTCTCTTGAGGCTCCCTTGGGCTCTCGTTGGGCCCTCGTGGGGCTATCTTGGATGGCATCGATCACATGGGGGGGGGGTGCGCAATTAGCGTCGCGCCTCTTGGGCGCGAACCGTCGCGTCTTGTGGCCATCTTTGGACGCTCTTGGGGCCGCCTGGGCCCTCTTCTAGGCCCCTTTTTTTGTGTGTGGGGGGGTGCGATATTGTGGCGACCTTTCCTTGGGACCATCTGGAGGCCTCGGAAACTTTCCGCAAGTGTGCATACGAGACGGCACGCATTATCGATTCCCTTTGGGACGGATTTTAGTATCCCGGGGGCGTTCTTGGGAGGCTCTGTGGGCAATTGGAGCCGCATTGGGGAGGTCTTGAGGCCTCTTGAATGCATTTTGGTGGACATTTTGAGCCATCCTGGACCATCTTGCGCCATCTTGGAGGCCACCTTGAGCTATCTGAAACCATCTTGGAGCCATCTTGTCCTCAGG